ATATAGTATAGTGTATGTGTGGGGGAAAAAAAAAAATGATATAAAAAAAATGAATTTGAAAATCATAAAAAAAAAAAACTATGAAAAATTTTAATATAGTTTTTATAAAAATATATGACAAAATCAAAAAAAATTTGAAAATCAAATAAAAAAAAAAATAAAAAAAAAATAAATATTTATTATTTAATTTAAAAAAAAAAAAATTTTATATATGTGTAAAAAGTATTGGGGCATCATGATTAGAGATCTTTTTTTTGTAAATTTTCCAAATAATATATTTTATATAATATGATTTCCAATTAAATATTTTTTTTCAAAAAGCCCCCAATCTTTAGCCAAAAAATCAAAAAAAAAAAGAAAAAAAATTAAAAAAAACTTTTTTGGAGTATAATCATAACTTTTCAAAAATTAAAAAATATAAAAAAAAAATCAAAAAAAAAAAAAATTAAAATGAAAAAAAAAAAAAATATCTTGTTGAACAACCACACACCAAAAAAAAAAAAAAATTGATAAGGGGGACCCCCATACTCCATATTATATAATGAATCATCATGTAAAAAAAAAAAAAAAATGATGTCCACTTTCCAACCAATAAACAATCATTTTCTTTGATTTTTTTAAGAGAAAAGAATAATATAATAACAAAATACAATATTGCTGTTTCTCTTTTTTTATACAATTACACAAAAAAAAAAATATCATCAACTCAAGACTATAATCATAATCACATTTATTAGTATTAAATATTTTTAAATTATTATAATAAATTGAATCAAAAATAAAATAGTTGGAAAAAAAAAAATAACAAAACCAAAAAACTAAAAATAATTTTTTCTATTTTTTTTCTTTTTTTTTATTTATTTTAATATGGGTATATTTAATTAAATTAAATTTACTTTATTTAAATTATTTTTATTAAAATTTAAATTTTAAATCTAAAATGAGATAATTAATTTTTTTTATTATATTTTTATTAAATTTTTATTATTTTTTTATTTTATTTTTATTTTATTTTTAAAATTTTTTTTCAAATTTTTTTTAAAAAATTTTTTTTTAAGAGTTCGCAAAGACGAAATAACACTTCACCAAAACATAAAATATAAAAATATTAAAATATAAAATATAAATTAAATATAAACGAAAGAATGGCCACCGAAACAAATACAAACTATGATGCAATCATTGGTAAACTTCAAACATTTTTAGATAATTTATATAATAGAAATCAAGATACAGATACTTTTTCAAGACCAACCAGAGCCCAAATTGTCAAATCAGCCAAAACCTTATCACACGAAATTACTAAAAGTAATATTAAAAAAAAATATGAGATAAAAAAAAACTTTACATTTAAATACTAATTATCATTATATATAGTTTCATTATTATTAGAAAATTTAAGAGCTGAGCCAAAATTTTTCAGTTCAATCGAGGAAACTTTAGACAATGTATTTTCAATTTATCAAGGACTTTCAGCATATTCAGGGGCATCTTTATTTAGAGCTATTCAAATTTGTTTTAGAAAACTTATGAAATCTACACAAGAGGTTTTCATTGCATATAGAGACAACGAATTATCATTAGGCGAAGACGAAGAAAATAAAATTTCAAAGCAAATTATAGGTTTAGCATGGAAATGTTGTGAAGAGTTTGAAAAGGTTCCAATCAAAAACTCAACATCAATCATCGAAAGAGGAGCTGAAATTTCATCACTTATCGAAGATGCACTTGACGAAGTTAAAGATTTCCAAGATAAATTAGCAACCATTAAAGAAAAATATGGTATGGTTAAAAAAGATAAAGAAGAAATCGATAAAGACGGAAATGTTAAATCAACAGTTGATGATATCAGTAACGATAACAAGAAAGACGATGTTAATGGCGATTTCGAACATGCTGAAGAAGATGAAAAAGAAGACGAAGAAGAATTTGACGAAGATTTCGAAGACGATGATATGGAGATACTCAAAAATATATCACAAAAAGATATCGAATTAGTAGATAAAGTTGTAGCAATTATTGAGAAATCAAATAAAATTACCAAACTTTTTGTAGAAATGTTAAAATCTGTAGAACCAGCAGACCAAGACGATATCTCCCAAGATTCAATCGAAAAGGTTAAAGTTTCAGAATCAATAATCAACTCTTTAAATGAATTATCTAAAAACGTTGACGACATTGCAAGCGCCATTTATCCATTACCAAATATAACTTATTGCGAAGCCCAATTATCATATTTAGATATTTCAATTAAAAACATTGTCGATAGTATTAAAAATAATTTTAAACTATATGGCTTTTCATCAGATAAATACGAATCAAAATTAAATAGTTTTTAATAAACAGATTTATATAAATATATAACCAAACTAAATTTAAAATTTTTTTTTTTTTAAATATATATAAATATTTATATAATATATAACTAATTAATTTTATTTAATTACTTTTTTTTTTATTTTTTAAATAATCCAAAGAACTTCTTCTTTTTGGAAGATTTTGGTAATGGTGGTAAACCATTGTTTTTGGGTGATTGAACTATATTTGATACATTTGAAAAATCTTGTTTAGAATTTTTACCATTTAAGAGTGGGGCTGGTGAAATTGATGTTGATGAGGCTGATAATGGTGGTGATGTGTCATTATCGTTATGGCCATTAATATTAAAGCCATTTGGTTGAGGTGATGATACTGGTACAGCAAAGCCATCTTCTGAAATCTCTAAATATCCTTTTTTAATTAATGTCCAAGTCTCAAAATCTTCTAATTCATCTTCATCAGATAATGAATAGGCATACTCCAAATACTCTTTAAATAATTGTTGTTCCTCTTCGTATTGTTTTCTATATAAAAGGGTTTTTTGTAAAGCAACTTGGCATTGACGTGATTCGTGTGGATCGACCCATTCTTCTTTTCTATCCCATGCATTAAATCTTAATTTAAATTCAATTGGTTCATTATATTGAATAACTTTTTGAATAGATTCTTCTGGAATTGAATAGTATTTACAATAATCCTAGTGATAATAAAAATAAATAAAAAATTAATATTTAATAATAAAAAAAATAAAAAAAAGATATAAATATTAATATATAAAACTTACTTTAACAAAAATTAAAACTATATTTTCTAATGATGATGAACAATTTGAGCCAATCCAAACATATAATACATCTGGTGAATCTAATAAACAACATTCTGTTGACTTTAAATCTGATGGATATTTTCTATTAATACGAGTCATTTTAACTTGTGATTCTGGTGAGAGATAAAATTTGAATAAACTATCATTTGATAAATCTATATCCATTGGATTTGGATTTTTGACACCTGGTAACATATCCCAAAAGTTTTTACATTCTTGACCCTGTTCATAAAATTCCACTTGAAATTCTTCATCGAGACGTTGGGCAAATGCCTCCAATTCTTCATATGGTGTAAATGTATTTTGACCTTTCCAAATTGTAATTCTTTGTTCGATGGCGGATCTAATGAAATATACATTATATGAATTTAATATAACACTATTTTGATCTAATTGTTGAATATAGGTATTTGGACCTTCATTTATAAATTGATATACTTTATGACAAATCTCTGGATCATCAAATCTGCTACCTTTATGGATAATTAATGTTTCATCAAATGCCTTTAAGAAATGTGATGGTTCTTTACGTTGAGTAATACAATAGACAGATGGTCTAGCTTGGCCTTTTTCTTCAAATTTATTTGCAATAATTGGATAGAGACCCATTAAAAACATAGCAAAACCTCTATTATCAGCAGTGACACCCTCCCACCAATAAATAACAGTTTGTGTAATATCATTTTGATTAACGGCATAGGGTGATGGTTCTTTGACTGATGTTACCATAACCATAAAACAATCTTCTTCGTAAAAGTGACATTTTTCTTCAGGTTCTAAACGGAAGAATTGAAGATCTGGAAGAGTTACACCATAAACATCAACTTTATCATTTGGAAGATTTTCGTAGATTGGTAAAATGACTTCATCTCTGCATGTGAAATTGATATAGTGGAAATCATAGTAGAATTTATCGGATGAGATATTTGATCTTTTAGCAGCCATTTTGAAACTATCCACACATTGCGATAGTTCAAGTTTTGGTAATGGCCAACCTTTAAACTGTCTCTTAAAGAGTGGTGGTTCATTTCCTGAGCTAATACAACGGATTTCAGCCCATGCTGGACGTTCATATTCCTTGTAAAATACTTTAGCACATTCTTTGGCTGCGGCAACCTTCTTTCTTGAAATACCTTTTGGGCACCATACAAATATATCGGTAGTACAATCTAAAATATAAACTTCATCTTTTGATAAAGCCTTATAATATAGAGGATATTCTTCTGCAATTTGCTCTAAACCTAGTTTACCAGTACTCTTTATACAAGTTTTATAAAGATTAACTATAGTTTCATCTTCTTCAGAATACTCAAAACTTTTATCTCTGTATTCTTTAGTTTTTAATTGTTTAATAAGTTTACAAAATTCTTTTTCATCATCTAAAATAAAAAGTAGAATATATTAATATATTGTATTTAAAATAATTGAATTTTTTTTATACGCTGTAAAAAAAACTGTGTGAAATTTCATTAAACACTTACTTAATTCCATAATTTTTAATTTCTTTGATAAATAGGTTTCTATTTCTTTTGAAAATTCTCTAATCAATACTTTATTATCCAAATTGGATTTTGTGCCAAATTTGATATATATAGTTGAGTTGTTGTTATTTAAAAGTAACCACGAGATGTCATTTGATGAATCTTGAATTAATTTTCTTGAGAGAGCCATTCTACGTACACTAATTGAAGCACATGAATCTAATTCAACTGGTGGAATTTCAAATTTATAGAGATAGACCTTTTTAGTGCCCTCCAATTGTTTGGTAATGAAAAAGTCTGAATCTGCACCACCTGATTTGTATTTAATTCCATTCATATCGTCAGAGAAAAAGTATTTTGTAAACAACTCACTTTCACGGCCCTGTTCTTCTGTGAAATGGTTAACTGCACCACCTAAATGGGTTGATAGTTGAATTGCCATCATAACTGCTGTACCTCTTTTATCTAATGTGGTCTCTTTGCCATACCAAATATGAATATTATAAAGTTTGGAATCTTTTTGTTCATTTGATACATTGAAAACCAAATAGGTATCTTTTGAATGTAATACTGGATAGTCATCATAGTCTCTTTCTTCGACGCCAAAACCTGTAACGGTCCACATAATAAATCCTTGAAGATCTTCTACTTCACCGAAAATTTCAGAGAAATCAATATCGATTGAACCATATTTAAAAATATTGACAATTTCTGCTGGTTTTTCAGTTTTGGTTGAAAATTGAGATTCTGGATTGGCTTGAATATTTAATGAATAACCTTTGGCGGCACCAACTGAAGCTGGAGTTTTATTTAATAAAGCAGTAATAAATCTATCACCATCATTTTTCTCTTGCTTTTCTTGTTTTTTAGATGGCGATAAAATTTCTTCTTCCTCTTCTTGCTCGCTATCAGTTTTAATAATCTCTTCCTCTTTTCTTTCTTTTTCTAGTTGTTGTTCTTTATCTAAACGATCTTGTTCTTCTTGTTTTTCTCTTTCCTTTTGTAATTTTTGCTGTCTTATTAATTCTTGTTCTTGTTCCTCTCTTAAACGATCTTGTTCTTTCTTTTGTTTAACTAACTCTTGCTCGGATGGTAAAATATTTTTTACATATTCTTCCCATCTCTTTTGGGTGTTGCTTGGTGAAAAGAAGTTATCCTTTAATGAAAGTCTTTGCGAAGCAGAAAAATCGTTAAGTTTAGTCTTTCTTGTGCTATTTGGTATAAAGTTCTTAAAATTAAAGGTTCCATTTGGATTTAAATGTTGTGATGATGCTGATGATACTGCTGAGCTTGAGCTACCATTTAAGTTGATTGAGTGTGGACGATTTGATGATAATGATGGTGACCCATTGGTATTTCCTGCTGAGCTTGTTGAAAGATTACCTGAGGAGGGTGCATTGAACATTGATGCTAAACTATTGGGTGCTGATTGTAATGACGATGATAAATTTGTAAGACTTGTGCTTGGGCTGCTACCATTTGAATTTGAACTACCGTTTTGATTAAATACATCCAAAACTGAAATTTGTTGCTTTGATAAACGTGGAATTGAAATTGTTCTAAACAAACTACCAGATTTAATACCAATTGAGTTATGTGAGCTATATTTTCTTAAACTACCTTCATTACTACCGCTACTACTATTACTACTAACACTGCCACCACCTTGTATTTGTTTCTTTTTTAAAGCCTCTAATATTCTAGAATCGCTAATTGTACCAAAACCAGGTTTGCTGCCACCACCTTTACCTATTGTACCGCCAAATTTAGATAAGCTGTTATTACCATGTAGCATAGATGAACCACTATTACGACCCAATGTAGAGGAGATCGAGGGATTTGTTTTAGCTAACTCGTGTAATTTTTGATCAATTTCTTTGGCCTCCTTTTCTAATTTCTTTTTTTTCTCTTCCTCCTCTTTCTTTAGTTTCTTTTCTTCTTCATGTTTTTTATGTTCAATTTCATTAATCATCTTTTTCTTTTCTTCCATTTTCTTTTGCTTTTCTTTTTTGTGTGCATGGTCAGACTCTTGCTTCTTTTTCTTTATATCTTGGATATTTTTATTTAAAATTTCTCTTTCTCCTATTGATAATTCTTCTTCCTCTGGTTTTGGTGCCGATATTATTGGTGATGTTGATGGTGACGATGAGTTTGTTGGTGATGGTGGAGATGACAATGATAGGGTGGTTGATGCTAAACTTGGTGATACAGGTGATGATGAAGATGGTGACGAACTTGTTGTTGATGTTGGTGATTGTTGTAACTGTTGTTGTTGTTGTTGGTGATTCTGATTTATTGTTGATCCTTCATTTGCTTTCTTTGCGCCACCACCCTGCTTCTTTTTTTTATTATTTGTTCTATTTTGTTTCCTATTAGTGTGTTGTTGTTGAGGATTAACTGGTGGCTTTTTATTACTTTTAACTGATTTTTTTGGCTCCATTTCTTCTTTTAATAGTTATTTATAAATTATTATGTTTGATTATTTAAATATTATGATTATTATAATTTTATTATGATTATTATTATTTTATTAATGTTTTAATATCTTTAATTTTTCTTTGATACTGCTATTTTTAATGTACTACAAACTACTTTTATTTTTTCATGTGTATATTTATGATGCTAAAAAATTTATTATAAAATAATATTAAAGTACGAATTAAAAATATTTATTATTACAATTTTATATATATATTATTTGTATTGTGTGATATGAAGTTTATTTAAATAAAATGATATTGTTTTTTTTTTTTAAAATGATAAAAATTTTAGTATACTGAATAGAGTGAATGTATATCAAAATAAAAAAAATATCAAATAGAAAAAAAATAAAAAAACAAAAAAAATCACACACCCTTAAAAAGATTTAAATATAAATAAATAATTAAATAAATAAATAAATAAATAAATAAATAAATAAATTATTTTAAAAAAAAAAAATTAATTTTAATTTTAAAATAAATAAGATATAAATGTAGTGTTATTATTATTATTTTTTATTAAGACAATTTTTATCACAATATAAAAAAAAATAATTAATGCGATTATTTGAAAATTTTGTTAAAAAAAAAAAAAATATTTTTAAATTTTTTTTTATTTTTTAAAATTTTTTTATAAATTTTATTATTAAAATTCTTTTTTATGAGAAAATTTTTTTTTTATTAATAATAGATGATATATTTAAAGGCACAAACTTTGGATTTGGAAATAAAATATATATTTGTGATTGAAAAAAAAAAAAAAAAAGGCAAAAGGTATGTATTTTAAAAATTTTAAAATTTTATTTAAAGAATTTATTTAACTGTTTTGAATTAAATCGAAAAAAAAAAATTAAAAATTAAAAAGTATTAGTTAAATTTGAAATTAAATTATATTTTTACTGAAAATGATAAAATACCAACCTTTTACAGAATATTTACATTAAGGTATACACAAATAATTTTTAATTGAAAAAACAATATGTTGCTGTGCTATTATTATTATTATTTTTTTTTTTTTTTTTTTTTTTTTTGTTGTTGTGGTAGTGTGTTTTTTTATTATATGAACGATATGGTTGTATTTGGTGAGTGTGAGTTTTTTTGGGATGAATATTGTTAAAATAATATTACATATATAGTGAGTTGTTGTATTTATATTGGTATATGAAATTGAAATTAATGGTAAGTGATTTGAATTTGATCAATGGCACTAAAGGAGTTGCATTGAAGACAATAGCATGGAGTCGATTTTTTGTGGTTGCAACATGATTCTACGGTAACACTTTGAACAAAGGATTTAACAGTTTGATTTAAAATTGAACTGGTTACTTCTTGTTTACAGATTTTACATTTATTATCTTTTGATGATTCAACACAACGTTTGCATAATAAATCACCACATGATAATGATAATGGTTCTTCAAAAATTTTATTACAACCTTTACAAACTAATGCTTCCATTTTTTATCTTTATATTTTTTTTTAAATAAATATTTATATTTTATATTTTATATTCTATTTATTTATATATTTATTTATTTATATGTTTATTTATTTATATATTTTTATATATTTTTTTTTATCTATTAGAGTTGAAATAATAATGATAAAAAAAAAAAAAAGTTATTGTTTAATACTTTTGTTTTTGAGAATGAAAAATTAAATAAAAAAAATATATTAATATAATTGTTTTAAAAAATCAATTAATAGAATACAAAAATAAAACAAATAGATAGATTATCTTTAGTGTGGGTGGGGTTGTTGAGGAAAAAAAATTTATTGAAAAAAAAAAGTAAAAAGATAAAAAAATAAAGGTGTATTGAAAAAAAAAAAAAGAACAAATGAATGGAAAGTGTCACAAAAAAGTCAAATCATTGAAAGTGTGAGAAATGTATTTATAGATACTTTTTTTTATTGGTTAGTGAGCGTATATTTACCAATTGTTGAGAACTATTAATATAATGAAAATTTTTTTTTTTTAAAAATAATATAATGAATAAAAAAAAAGAAAAATAAAAAATAAAAATAAAAAAATAAAATAAAATAAAAAAAAAATCAATCATTTTAAAAATTTATTTTGGATATTTATAAAAAAAATAATCACAAAAAGAATTATTTTAAATAAACCACTAATGTCAAAAATGTCAGTTAATGTTTTTTTAGTTAACTGTGTACCAAAATTATATTATTATTTGAATGTTGTTTATTTGATTATTAAAATTAGATAATTTTAAATAATATTATAATATTTTAAATATTATATTATTTTAAAAATTTAAAAATTTTTTTTTTAAAATTTTTTTTATTTTTTATGCATTTTTTTATATTTAAATTATTTATAATAAAAACTATTTTACAAAATGATATTACCGTTTAAATATTATTTAGAAAAAATGAAAAATATTAAAACCTTACATCTGGTTATTGTTCCGATTGATGTAAATGGCTTATATTATTATGATGTCAAAATGTCAACAATTCAAAAATACCATATAGAAATATTCGATTTAAAAGATAGGTCAAAACATTATACATTAGATATTTCTCTACCATTGCACTCCAAAGTCGAACCAAGATCAACATTTATTCATAAAGAACCAACACCACAGGATAATAGTATAGAAATAAGATCAAAAATTTTAATCGACCAAACAAATTATGATGAACATTTGGTTTCGAGATAATGTTTTACATGACCCCCCTTTCCTCTTCAATAGATTGCTATTAAAATCACTTTTCTTCAGAAATATTTAATAACAAATAACAAGAATCA